CTGGACAACTAAAAATATATAGAAAAAATTAGCCCGGCATGGTGGCGCATGTCTGTAGTCTCAGCTATTTGGGAGGCTGAAGCAGAAGGATCGCTTGAGCCCAGGAGTTTGAGGTTGCTGTGAGCTGGGCTGATGCCACAGCACTCTAGCCCAGGCAACAGAGTGAGACTCTGTCTCAAAAAAAAAAAAGATTGGGGCTAAAATCCAGGTCCCTGGTAGTATTCTGTGGAAATAGTTGCCCCTAGATTTTGCTGCCCCAGAACATACTGAGAAGAAAAATTCTTTTTAGGCCAGGGAACTTCCTTCTTGCTTGTTGAAAGTCAGCTTCCCAATTATCCCAATGAAGTTCTGACAAGGAAACTTATCTGCATCCTTATCTCTGTTCTGCATCTATTTTAAGCGGGACTAGGCCACCAGACTGGCAGCTATCTCCTTCATAATGGGAGTACTAGAAATTTTCTTAATACATGTACAGCTGTACATATCCATGATACCTGTTATGTAGCCAGTGTCCTCATTCAGTTAAAATCCTAGTAGCATTTTAAAAATCTCTTAGCTACAACTGATTTATTTGTTTGGTGCTCAGATATTTTTTCTCTGAACTTAGCAAAATTAGCAGTCCTACTCTGGCCATCCCAGGCAGTTGAAAATAATTTAGGGCCTCTTGTGAACATGCCTAGGTGTTACATTTTACTTATCCCAGAAAAAATGGAAATCTGATTCTGCAGAGCAACCTACTCTGTGGTCCCCTGGTTATCACAGATATGGAGACAAACAATTGATTTTCAGAAAGAGGAGAAGAAAGAAGGGAAGAACCCTGATGCCAGACCCCTGTCATTTTTACTATAGTAGACTTCAAAGCGCTTCTTGACAGCAGTTTTGAACCATAGCAGGCTGGAAACTTGGACTATTAAAAAGAGTTGAGAATTTGAAGATTTTGAATCCTGACTCTTCTTAATTGTGTAATCTTGAGTGGGTTTCTTTAAGTCTTATATATGAGATAGAGAAAGTATTTCCTACCATAATTATTTGTTGTGAGGATTAAATGAGGGAATGTATGTAAAAACCTTTAATAAGCTATAAAGTGCTTCTGTTAGTTTTTTCATTCATTCATCACATATTTTTTGAATGCCTGCTTTGTGCTTGGTAGGTACTACTCCAGGTACCAAGAATGAGGTAAACATGCCAGACATAATTGCCGCTTCATGTACTGTATGGTTGAGTACTTATTTGGGGTTGTCTGTGGTTTTATTAGTCCAAACTAGGCATATCCCCAGATGAGAGAGGGAAGAACCAGGCTATCTACTCAAACGTTTTACCTTCCCAGCTGGCAGAGATGGAGGAGGAGCTACGTTATGCACCTCTATCCTTCCGTAACCCCATGATGTCTAAGCTTCGAAACTACCGGAAGGATCTTGCCAAACTCCATCGGGAGGTGAGAAGCACACCTTTGACAGCCACACCTGGGGGCCGAGGAGACATGAAATATGGCACATACGCAATAGAGAATGAGCATATGGTAAGCTTCAGCTGTTTTATTTTCCTCAAGGGCCTGTGGTAGAAAATTAACCATATTGTGGAGTATAGTTCACGTTATCAGTGCATTCTAGACTTGTGTTTTCCACTCTTATCCTTTTTTCTGCATCCAATTCCCCTTCTCCCCTGGGGTAGCCACTCTATTTAATGCAGGTCTTTCCAAACCATATGCACATTCTTTGTATCCTTAATATATAAAAAATACATATGTTACCTATTCTTATTTCTAAATTCTGTATTCTAATCCATGATCTAATTTCTTGTCTTCTTGAGCTTTTATTGTTGCATGTAAATTTTAGAATCACTTTCTCAAGTATGCCTAAAACATTCATTTAGGTTTTTAATTTATCAGAGTATTGCTACAAAATTAATCCAGCTTTCCTTTACCTTAATGTCAAGATGGCCCAACAACTGAAATACAATTGAGAACGCAGGATGCTTCTCAAGAAGGGGCTAACACTTTATTCTGTTGTAATGGAAAGTGAGCCACATTGCCTTTCTAGCCTTCAGAATTCTGATTTATAAAATTGGACTAATTGAAAATCTATATTTTGAAACCATCTAAAGAAGCTGGAAAGTTAAAGGAATTAAATAAAACTTCATAAACATTACATTTAATGTGCTGCATTTGGATTATGTTCCACAAATACAGTACAGAGTAGAAAGTGCCTGGCAAGTAGCGTGGAAGAGAAATGAAAAGGGGCCCACCGATGCAGACTGAACATGCGTAGAGAGGCCGGTGATACGATTTTACGCAAACAAATCTCGTTTCGCGATGCGTCCTGATTATAGTTTAAGAGACATGCAGAGTGATTCTGGCCTGATATTGTTTATGTCAAAATTAGACATTTAAGAATGATGCAAAATTTTCAAATGGACACACAGATCATTACAAATCAGAAGCTAAGATCACTCATGAACGTGGACTGGAAAATGGCAGGCAGGTGGAGCTTGTTAAAATGGGAGTTGTAAAAGTGACTTTGGTTATTTGTTACCAGAAAGAAGGGAGAGGATAAGTTCAAATAATTTTGCTTTAGAATTATTAGTTTCAGAAATTATAAAAACATAATTTAGATATACATAACACCTTCAGTAGGATTATTGTTCCAAATCTGTCTAAGGTTGATTTATGTGATCTTCTTGTCTTTTCCTGCTCTTTCTTTAGCCTAATCAGTTGAAAATCTGCATCTTTTATTTTTAAAAAAACTTTCTTCTTCCTTTGAGCTAACATAACTGAGTTTATTTGAACCTCAGTCAGTGGTTTCTTCATCCACTGGTGTGTATTCCATTTATTAAGTGAAAATGCTTCTTGTTCCTGCTGCTCTGGGAATCCATCTTTTGGCTTCTTGGTGGCATCCTATTGCTAGTAGTCACCTGCTCTGTAATAGGCCTGTGAGCTGGGCCCCTTTTGATTGTATGTTATGTGCTTTGAATAGCTAAGAACTTAGAGCTGCCCCCATTTCTGTCAGTGGTTGTTAATTCTGGCCTGACAAAGGCTATTTTTGTCCTCATGCTGTCTGTATTTAGGATTATAAGTGGAGTAAAATTTCGGTGGGGATTTAGAAAATTAAGGCACTTGGGAAATTAGGGCAGCTGGGGAAGCTTACTCCAGCCCCAGATACTGCCTTCCCAAAGAGTAAATCACCGGTGTGGCAACTTTGAAGTTTTTGCTTTTGGGTGTATTTGGCCTGAGGTGAAATTCTTTTGGGGGCTCACCAAGAGTGTAGTCACAAGTGTTTTCCAGAACGTGGTAGAGTCTTAAACTTACAAATGATTTATGTGCTGAGAAAGAGTAACTCATTCATAGTTCCTCAGTCCTCAGTACCAGTCAAGTGGGAATCTTCAGTGAGTCATTTTCTAGGGCTGCAGAATTTAGTTGGTTTGCTTGCAGCACTGAAGTTACAGGCTGTATGCGTTATCAGGTAGCTCTTGCATCTCCCAGATCTGAGCTGCTGCTTCTCAAAAGTTCCTGGTCCAAGAAGCACATGGAGCAGTTCAAATTCATCACCACCACAGGGAAAGTGCTCCAGTGTTTTTAATCCATCCTTCCTTGCCTTGCTGAAGTGTAAAAAAGCAGTGGAATGGGAGGTGTTGTGATCCTGTTGATTGGATTCCAGGTTTTGCTATAGTCTGTGGTTCTGTAGCTCATTAGCATCTTTGGTTCTGTCTTAAAAGTAATGGAAATTATTGCTCACTACATCCCCTCTTACACAAGGAAGGTCATAAGGAATGTGCTGGCAGCCAATTGATGGGGGAAGAAGCCTAACATTTCCCTTCCATACTCCTCTCAGAATCGGCTACAATCTCAAAGGGCATTGCTTCTGCAAGGCACTGAAAGTCTGAACCGGGCCACCCAAAGTATTGAGCGTTCTCATCGGATTGCCACAGAGACTGACCAGATTGGCTCAGAAATCATAGAAGAGCTGGGGGAACAACGAGACCAGTTGGAACGTACCAAGAATAGAGTAAGTCTGGGCAGATGGGGGAAGTGGCAAGAGCAGGGATAGTAGCTGAGCCCACTACTCCTGGATGCAATACTGAGACGAGAAGCTACAGCAGTTCTGAATCCAGGGAATAACGTTCTTTAGGTTCTTACGCTTTTCTCAATTTTTAGTTTGCTTAGCTGAGAGTTTTCCCTTAGAAATAATGTTACCCTTAAGATTTAGACATCATTGGAAATTTCTGTTTTAGTGAAGGAAGAAAAAGACTGAAGGAATCTGATTTCTGCATTTGTAAGATTGCAGCCACTTCATCCTTATTAATTCCTATATTCTTTCTTTGGCAAGAGAATAATATGTAAAAAGGCACTTAAGGATTCAAAGCTACCAATCTGAGATTTTAATTTCTTATACATTTAGTGGGATATTCTATTATTATGAAAACATTATCTATACCTTGTCAGTTTTTTCCATATGTCATAAAATATACCACTCACAGTTTATAGATTGATAAATTATAGTTAAATCCTGGACTATAACCCTTTATTGTTACCTAAGGTAAGGATCATTGTAGGAAGAAAACAGAAATACATAGGCCAAATGATCACTATATCAGGGACCTCTAATCTACTATCACTTTAAGAGGTTCTGAGAAATAACTCATTTTAATAATAGCTCATCTTCCTTTCCATAAATGTGTTAATCACATAGGAATTTTAAAAATAATATAATTTGCCAGTGGAATGCTGTATTCTTAATAGCATAAGGCAAATCAAACTGAAAAACAGATACTATAGCCAAGATTTGGACAGGAAAATACTAGCTCAGTGTGGGGATTTGAGATTTTCTTATACATATTAATAGCTACAGTTCTCCATTCTTAAATCTGAGTGATATCCTTCCCTCTTCAGTGAAAATTCACAACAAAGTACTAAATTCAAGGCAAGCTATAGAGAATGCAGCTTGCTTACAAGATAGTGTGTGTTTTGATTTTTGAACATACTAGGTAGATTGTTTAAATTTAAAAGCCAAGCAATGAGCTGAGAGATCAACTTACCAAGGCCACTGGGGAATGGCAACAGATGGCAGGTCACCATCTGCAGGAGGTAAAATACTCTCTAGCTATCTAGATTATTATACCCTCCTGCTATTAATCGAAAAGGAAAAGTCCAGGGGTGTCAAGTCCTTTTATAAGTCAATGTATCTGTCTCTTAAAGAAGAAAAAAAGATAACCAGACCTCAAAAGCAGTAACTCACCAGCCCATAAAACAAACAGCAACTTGAGGCTTTCCTGGAATTTGGGTGATGAAATTCAAATCGTAAATTGCTCAAAGTGGCTTCACAGTCACTGGCTGGGTACATTTGAAGACTTCCTGTTCTCAGTAGCCAAGGTGAAAGATTAGCTCAGTCTCAGAAGTCTGTCCCCACAGCAACCTTCGGATATAATGAATCCTAAGCCTACTTGATTAATACTAAAGTATCTTGTCCTTTCCAGGTTCTTCTACTTATACTCAGAAGTCATCATTTAAATTGGTTTGATTTCTTGGAGTTTTTCAACATACACCCCTTAATTTAGTTCAGGAATATTCAAATTGTACAGGGTGTACTTTTGGAAGAAGGGTAAAATAATTGCTATTTTCTCTTCTCAGCTGGTAAACACGAGTGAAAACTTGAGCAAAAGTCGAAAGATTCTCCGTTCAATGTCCAGAAAGTAAGTTTTACAAAATTAATTTCTCTTAACTCTTAATGTCTTTCAACCAGAAAAACTTAAAACAGTAACTTACAAAAGTCCTAATACGGCACCTCATCACTTGATACCATACAGTCCCCTTATACTTAATACCACCTTGCCGATCAGAATAAATAAAGGAATATGGTCTTGTATAGTTAAATATACGAGGATAAAACCTTTGTTAAAAGTATATACTGCTCTGACTTGGGACAGTGGAAAATTTCTCCACTGAAAGGACATTTAATCCCAGCTTACATTCCTTAGAGAAGACAGCATGTAGCAATAATAGAGCTTCATATTCCTTGAAATATATTTGTAAAAACTTGATTAGAAAACAGTTTTTTACTTCTACTGCTTAGTTCTTGCTTTTGGCTCTGCTTGCCTTTCATAGGAGTCAGCCCCCTTTCGGGAAGTACTGTTTTGTTAGCAAGAAGTAGACTTTTATAAAAAACCTTGAGGAGTTGTCACTGTTGTTGGGCAGTGACTGAGCCAAGATGCAGCAGAACCTGCCTGCTCTTTGTCAGATTTCCCAGAGGACCATACACACTGCTTCATGCAGGCATTTTGAAAATAAATTCCAGAGAAACAAAAGCTGTTTCAGAAGGATAGTGGAATTCCAGTTCATCTAAAGGGTGAGGTAGCTGATGTTCTCCTGTATAGAGCCACTGTGGTTCTTATAGTTGGAACAAAAGCATTTGCCATATATCAGCTAGCTATGGCTTCTTTTCCCAAGAGGCAGGATTGACTGCCATCAGCCCAGGAATCACTTTGTTCAATTTCATTTGGCTCTCTACGTAATAGTAACATAATAACTGAGCTCTCTGGGGATCAGTATTTATTGACTTGTGCTAACTGCCACCAATACATCAGTCTTTACCCCCCAAAAAAACCCCACAAAAAACAAAACCCTTGAGGTAAGTGCTAACAACAACAAAACCAGAGCAGAAGGGAAGTATTGCCACTGAGGCTGAAGTTGGGGGTAAGTGGGTAGTATGCATGACCTTGGGACAGGTGGCCTAGCATGAAACAGAACTACAGCCTGGTCATGGAACTAGCAGGAGGAGTGGAGTTTTCCTAAACAGTGGCAGATTCCTTGTGAAATAGGTAGGAACATGTAGTGAACATGAGAACCAGAGGTTGGATTCTTTGTGTAAATGAAAGATAAATTTTTTGAGGCTCCCATACTACCTTTATAATAGAGATACCCATTTGAGTTTATAGGACAGCAGAGGGAGAAATAGAGAAGAGAGGAAGAAGGGAAGAAGTTTATAAGGGATTGAAAAACATTACCCAGGCTTCTAGTTACCTATCTTAAAGCGGGACCATCCATGAGCTGGACTTTGACACTGGAGAGTCTGCCCCAAACCCTTCTCCCAACGTAGGCTCACTGCTGTAGTATATAACTGCTATGGCTCTATATGGTTAGATAAATGAGATTGTATTTCTGCTGCTGTGAAATACAATTCACCCTGATTTTAGAAATGGTATACTTTTTCACATATATAATATTTTTTTCTAGCTTAACCCCTCCTTGTAGAAAATGTAACTACTATTTGAAAACGTTTTAGAATCAAGAAACTATTTTTATGCTTTGGTATTTATTGTCCCAGTTTTCAACATTTCTGTGAGGTAGACAGTGTTATCCCTAAGTTACAGCTGACGAACCTTATGAGCACTCACCTACAGCCAAGTGGCTGTGTGTTCAAACAAAAAACTCATTTTGCCTCACGGTATCCAGCTTTGGTCCTGGCTCAGACCCCACAGTGTTAAGAAGGTTATCCACACTTCTGACTACTCTCCACTTTTCTTCTCTTTGTAGAGTGACAACCAACAAGCTGCTGCTTTCCATCGTCATCTTACTGGAGCTAGCCATCCTGGGAGGCCTGGTTTACTACAAATTCTTTCGCAAGCATTGAACTTTTTATAGAGAGGGCTTTGTGGACCAGAACTTTGACCCTGTGAATGAAGTGTGTTGCTGCTGTAGGCTAACAGTTCAAGGATGCACTGTGCAGCCAGACTGTGGGAGGAGGGAGGAAAGATGGAAAGCCACTTAAATGTGAAGGAACAGCAACAAGACCAGTATGATATACCAAGGTAATAAATGCTGTTTATGACTTTAAATTTACATAGTATTACAACATATTAATACCCCGTGAACTGCCAAAACCCAAATACATTTACAGTAGTATTATTGGTCACCAAAATAGAGAGGGGAAACTTTACAGTTGTGAAAAATGTGCAGATGTTCTCATTAAGGCAATATTGACCAACCACTTAATATCTGTCTCCTCAAATGCCCCGCAACTCTGGAATGCCCATTGTGAAACATGTCAAAGCACAGTATTTCCTAAATTCTCACACATGCTTCATTTTCTGATTCATCTGGTGAACTGGGAGTAGGAAGTTGGTCATAGACAATGTGCCCTCCTTCCCTTGTCTGACCAAAACTTGAAGCAATCACATCCACTGCCAGGCTAGCTGTAGCCTTCGCCTCTTCTTCTGAAGTGGCCAGCTGAGGATTGACTTCAACAAGATCCAGTGCTGACAGCAACCCTGGAAGAACAATGACAAAACCTCAGAAAATTCCTTAGCTGTTACTCTCAATGAGATTTATCCCACCTGGACAGGGAGAACAAGCCGAGGTATAAACAAGAGTCATTTTCTACTACAAAACTATCTTGTCAGGAAGCCATTGCACCTCATCCTCTTGACTCTGAATTTATGTTAAAACACTAGTATACTAGAATAGGCTTGAAAGAAATCTTTAAGGTAATGAAATAAATCATCCCTGTTCAACTAACATAATAGGCATAGCTATCAGGCTTTCTGGAAAAGGAAGGGGCTTGGTGGGGGATGCAGAGGTTTCCAGGCTGCTTCTTGGGAAAATGTGTGCCATCTCCAGTATGACTAGGAGCCTTCCAGATGCCTGCCTAGAAATAGGGAAGTATTAAGGCAAAGAAAATATCCTACTTCTTACTAGCCAGAGCTCCACTCCCACTTTTGAACTCTAATGCTGTATCTGTTAAAGCACCACACCATTGCCCTGAAACTTAGTTATTACTGCAAACCTTATTCTTACCCCTACAAGCTTGAGTTCTGAGGGCATGTCTCACATCTGACACATTTATTTATCTTTGAGCAGACTGACCTAGTATCTTACACTTGGTCAAGGGACGATTCAGCCATATGTTGATTATTTAATTTGGGCTCCAGTTACCTTTCTTCAGGGTTTGAGAACTTGTTCCAAAGTTCTCAACACTGTTCTTTGGCCTGGAGCAAGCTGAGGGGAAGGGAAGATTAGACCAGCAAGCCTATCCACACCTGCCTTCCACTCCCACCCACTACATGCCCCACTTCTAGGGAATTTAACTTTGTCTCAAAAAAAAAAAAAAAAGTCTTGCTCTGTTGCCTGGGCTAAAGTGCCGTGGTGTCAGGCTAGCTCACAGCAACCTCTAACTCCTGGGCTCAAGCAATCCTTCTGCCTCAGCCTCCCGAGCAGCTGGGACTACAGGCATGCGCCACCATGCCCAGCTTATTTTTTCTATACGTTTTTAGTTGTCCAGCTAATTTCTTTCTATTTTTAGTAGAGGCGGGGGTCTCACTCTTGCTCAGGCTGGTGTTGAACTCCTGACCTTGAGCGATCCTGCCGCCTCGGCCTCCCAGAGTGCTGGGATTACAGGCGTGAGCCACCACGCCCAGCCGAATTTAACTTTTTAGTTGGTTATTCTAGGTGAAGAATCATCTGAACAAATTAGCATTCAAGAATACACGTATCTGAGAATATTTAGGGTAGCTATAAAGTCTGGAAACATAGGTGAATATATCTAATGGTTTATTGATGTTACCTTCTAGTACATGAAATGCTCAGTGCCATCACATCTGGTCAGCGTGTCTTCCCTTATTAGCAATGCGTAGTCGAGTGCACTGCAAAACTGCAGTGAACAGGCATTTGACTGTAGCATTTCCATCATTTCCTGCACATAGACCTGGGTCTCTGATGATCTGAATCTCTGATTTTCACTAACTAAACCTGTACCTTTAGCATACTCTAGTAGTAATCAAGAGGGTTTGCACTATTAAAAACATATATATATTACCTATGTTTCCAGACGATTGCCACACTGTAAATTAGTTTAAGCAAACTGCTTTATGTATCTAGTTGACAGTGTCATGACAATCTTTTGGAATAAAATCATATTGCAGCAGGGGAAAGGAGGGATAAGGCATGACCACTGCCACATCTAACTACTAGAGATTATTAACCTCTGCTGTTAGTGGTATCACTGGGAAGCAAAGTAGAGGACTGAACACCCAGGTTCTCTGGCCACTAACCCAAGGACCACTGGAGACATCTAATGGATCTGAGAATGAGACTTGCCACTGTCATAATCTGATAGACAAGTACCATTTTCCTTTCTGTACTGCCTAAGGTTCTAGCAGGCTCCAGAGCCAGTGAGACCATTTCTCAGTGCAATTTCTATCCCAGCTAGTCAAGAGTTTCCTATTACCCTGGACCTTTCAATATGGGATCTCTATGCTTCTGTCTATACCCCAGTTTCATGAGATGGTTATTGAAGCAGTATCATGTGGTAGTTCTTTAAACTTTAGAATGAAAAGGTATTTAAAATAGCTCTAAAACCAGAAGCTTTCTGACAGAAATGGAAACTGTTTGCAAGTAAGTATGAGTTTTGGGATAGTAACCCCTGTAGCCACTCTTGATAACTTAGAATTCATCTTACTATTTCTGTCAGCCATTCATCTAACTCTATCCCCTTATTAAAGATCCTGTCAAACAAGCTCTAGTACAAGACTTACCCTACAAAAAAGGACCCAAGGTACTGTCCAACTTGCCAGTATCTTCAAGAGATCAGCTTTAACTCCAAATTCCCAACTCCCAGTGAAAGCAGCCTCTATCTATCTTATTCATTCATTTAAAGACAAATTCTCACTCTGTTGCCCAAGCTTAAATGCAGTGGCATAGTCGCTCACTGCAGCCTTGAACTCCTGGGCTCGAGTGATCCTCCTTGCCTCAGCCTCCCAAGTAGCTGGAACTACAGGTGCATGCCACCATGCCCGCCTAATTTTTTAAATTTTTTTATAGAGATGACATCTCACCACACTGCCCAGACTGGTCTTAAATTCCTGGCCTCATGTGATCCTCCTGCCTTGATCTCCCAAAGTGCTGGGATTACAGGTGTGAGCCACTGCCCAACCTCTTAACATCCAAGTAAAAATTATAGCTACTTGGCCTTGTCTTTTTATCCTAATCTACCTTTATATAACTCAGACACAGGGAACTGCATCAGTGTGGCAATTTATTCTTGTATTTAATAAGCGTCTAAGTAGACACAATTTTGTATTCAATATTACCTTAGCATAGATTGTTAAGAGCTAAGTCCAAACATACCTCTAAATGATTATATCCTTTATTAGTCTGGCCATATGATTGTTAGCTATAAAAGTTGAAGGAAAAACAAAGTCTGCAATGACATGGAATAGTAGAAACAACCTCCTGTAGGCAAGAGACTTCAGCGTATTTACGCAATAGTTAACAGGCTGCATACCTGGTTGCTACATACCTGTATTGTGTATTTCCTCAGTAATATACATGCCTTCCCGATAGGTCAGTCCCCCTACGACAGGGGTTCCTGTGGCTGGAGCCAGCGTAGGGTCAAATGCATCAATATCAAAACTCAGATGGATTGGCCTTTGTCTTCTGGAAAGGAAGAGGATAAGAGAATACTTATTTGGTTGTGCTCAACCTTCCTGTGGTTTGCAACTCCTTGATTTTATTGCTGTTGGTCCTGGTACTTTGTTAATAAAGCGGTTAATAATATTTCTAGGTTTTCTATTTCAGGAAGTTACTGAGATTAGTATATTAACTTCCTGCACACCACTTCATGATATTGCTATTTGTTCTGCATGCCTCAGACAAACTCCAATTTATAGTGCTGGTTTATCCTGGGCATTCGAACCTCTTGCATGAACAACTGTCAATAGAGGGAATTCTTCACTTCCATATGAGATTGGGCTCTGATATATTCTAATTTATGTTGGCTTGACCTGGGTTACAGTTGCTGTTACTCTCTGAATATAATAGCAGCTGACTTAACTCTGATTTTATGTCTGTAATCTCTTTTATTTTTAGTTATTTATTTTTATCCAGTCATGTTGACACCTATGTCTGCAATCTTAACACCTTCCAGTTCTAACTTCAGTTTAGCCCAGGTGTCCAATGGCTGAAACTAACATACAACACCCTATGCCAAATAACTAAATTTCTTAACAGCTTAAAAAATGACATACTACTAGGTAGCAATTCTGACATTACTCACCTAAAAGTAAAGACTTGGTATTGGGAAAATGCTCTTAAAGCTAACATTTGATTGGCATTCATCTGCCATCTTTCTATACTACCAAGATTTACTTGATATAAAACTCAGGTGAAGCAATAGTGAGGTAGGGAAGAATGGGACATTTGGAACAATGAATGCTTCTCATCTCAAAAGACAAGCATGTAAAAGGAGATAAAGAGAAATTCATGAGAGACAGAGATCTGGGTGATGACTTAAAGGAAACCTCCTCCTAACCCCAGAGGAAGAATATGTCCTATGTTTCATATTATGTCTTTCTGAACTATTTGAAATTTTTATATGTATATGTTTTGCTTTTATTTTAAAAGTAAAGCTGCTATCCTCAAGAGACAGGCTAAACTCCAAGATCAAGGTGCCAGCAGGAAGGAAAGGTGAAAAGAAGAAAAAAAAATATAAAAAAAAGAGGCTAAAGTATGCTGCCCTGTGGGAGTCTGCCCTATTCCCTGTGGGACCCAGAAATAGACATCCATTGTCATTACTTACTTGCCAATCAGCAGATCAAATGTCTGTTCCATGACCTTCTGGATACCAAGTCGATCAATGTCTCTCATGGAAAAATATTGGATATCATAGTTCTTTAAAATAAAACTGCGGTGAGATATAAAGGAAGGAGTCCTTAGTTTAAAAATCATTTTTAACAAATGTATATTTGGCAGGGGGGGGTTTGCCTTTAAGTGACCTATAACAGGTTAAGTCAAGCATCAACCTTTCGGATGGGACATAATTGGCCAGGACAGGCCCAGAGTTTAAC